AGTGTGTGATGATAAACCCGTTGAAGAAGAACGTAGTGATGAAAGAGATTTCAATGCGATTAAAGACTTCTTTAATGCTAAATGTCTCGCCAATACCAATGAACAAAATGTTCAAGCTAAGAAAGATTCGGTTCATGTAGAAATAGAGGTCAAAGATACGGATGTTGACAAAGATATTAACTCTAATGTAGTAGTAGCTAATACAGTTGAAAGTCTCGTAAAAGTCAATGAAAGTTTACACGAAAACATTCACGTTGATGTAAATGAACAAAGCAAGGTAAATGATATCGTCAATAATGTGGACGTGTCTGAAGAAACTACAAATTATTGCAAAGATGTAGTATTATATCAAGATTTTAAACCTAACCTTACATACATTATAACTAAAGCAACGGAACTAGATGCCTCTAACGTCAACTTAGACGACGCACAAATAGATATAACAGCGAACTTAACTAACATATCTAAAGTCGCCGACAATGAGACGGCACTGAATGAAACCAATGATATGAACAATGCATTTCATGAGGACTTTAGTCACTCAGAGGATCCTACCATCTCCTCACATACAGAGGAAATCTTCGCTACACCTGATGTAGATCTTACTTCAGAATTGAAAGAAAATTTAAGTCTTGAAACTGATACTTATATCATCGAAGTAGATAAAACCAATGATACATCACACGATGAATATTACTCCAGTGTTAATGACGAATTTAAAGATATTTCTAGTCAAGCTGAAGAATTCGCCAGTTTTATCGCTAAGTCTAGTACAGACACTGAGGTATACTTAAGCCCTGTTATAGATTCCTTAAACGAAGACGCATTCTGTCCGGAATACCGCGATATATCTATTAGTAAAGCGAATGATTCGACAGATAGTTCAAGGAAGAGGAAATATACAGCGTCCAAAGATGCCATGAGCCGATCTTCATCTCCCAACAGAAAGACTACTAAACGTTTTGAACTTACTGAATCACCAATCAAAGATTACCCTCAATATGTAACTAAATATTCTAGTAATATGCCGTCTCCATTCACAAAAACAGCCAACGTCTTAGCTATGTCTCAAACTGAACATTCCGGCGGCGTCAAATACTGGCTCTCTTTCGATGAAAACCTCAAAGTTGAGACCGAAAAACCGTCTATACGTAGCAAAAAAAGCATGGACGATACCCTACCTAGCTTCATATCGATAGACTTAGACGAAAATGCTGATAATAAAACGGATTATTTTGAAAAGAATAGTAATATAAGCACGAAGCGATCGAGCGTGTTGCTAAATGAGTTTCACGAGCCTGAAGTCGCTTTCCCTTCGCCTAGCACATCTAATATCGAGTTTAAAACCCAAGAGAGAGTCAGGGAACTAGTCAAAGATCCTGACGTGGAAAAAGATGATGCAGAGCCACAGAAAAAAATGCTTTATGAGCTACATAGCAGACCATCAAAACGACCATACTCCAGTTGGCCTCCTTTCGAAGATACTTTGTTCTATCGCATCATATCCAAGTTCCGAATGTCCGAAAGCTTCGATCCCAACGATGTAGAGGAACCTAATTTCGATAATAGTATCTAGTTTATCGATATCGATAGTTTTGTCAAGCTCTAACATTGAGTAGTGAGACGGTAATTTGTGTATCGTACAAATTAATGATTAATTTATGAGAATAGTGTTTTAAAAGAAGGAAAATGTAAAAGTTTCTATGTGCCTTTAGGAATTATTACGTGTAATATGTTACTGTAAAACCTCTTAGGGTTATATTTCGCCGGTTCACAATGGCGGCGCAACCAGTCGCGCCACCGTGGTATCCGCAAACTACCAAAGTAGACATTAAATTTGTCTAGCGTCTAGGTGCCTAGTCTGTTGTATAGACACCAGATCCCACACATCACACTGCGGTAGTGCCTAAATATACCTCAAACGATGCCGTCCGAGCTGGGCGCTTACTCTTGTAACCAATCTCAATGCAATTTCAATTTAATAAAATATCAATAATTATTCAGTGTCAAAACTATACAACCCCTATCGTAGCTTTTACAATAGAATTTCGAGTACGGAATATAAAGCCAAACTCAATACCATTTATTTCATGAAATATCCGCGCAATACGGATGCAATGGGCGCTACTGTTACAACACAAGAGTACGGAATTTCAGAATATCAATGTCGATCGATCGATCGGAATTGGATTCAAGAGTAAGCCCCCTGGTGACGCCTCCAGATTGGATGCGGAACCAAGCATTTTTTGGTCACGGTGATTGGTTGCGACGCCATGGTGTCCCGGTGAAAAGTATTTACCGATTTCAATGTTTGTATTGGAGAAGGGTTTTTGACATTAGTGGCATTGAATTTCTGTCAACAACTTTCGATTCAGGGATTTTGTATTGAGTCTTGTTATTAACTTCGGTCTTTAGTAAGCAAGCGATGTATGCGACGTTTAATAAATAATCGTTCGGTAACAATTAGGTGTAGTAAAAAGAGATAGATACAAATTGAGAGAGAGAGAGTCTCTAAATATGTAACGACAATAATGTATTTTTTATAGAAGCATGTTTTTTTACAACTCAATGTATGTTTTGTATGTAGTTTTTCAATTTTTTTATTAATTAATATAAGTGTTTGTTAAAGACAACGGTGTCGCTGTCCGGTGTGGACATTCGTCTAGGATTTTGTTTAGAATTTAAATATGTATTTTGTGTCCGAAATAACGAGGTTTTTGTATTAGTTTAATCTCAGTTTCGCTACGTTTGGTATTGCATGGTCTCTATAGATACAAACTTAGAGATATTTTGGAAACTATAATTCAATGTTTTTATTTCTTCTACTGTGTTGATAGTGATTCTATCCAATTTTAATATCACTGGGCAATAGGTTAAAATTCACCGTCTTAGTATCCTTTTTCTAACGACAAAACAAATAGACTTAAGCCTGAATACTGAAAGGCTACCATTTTATTTCGCGCTAAAGTCACTACATATCTTTGTAAAATGACAGAGATGCCACGATATTTAAGTACAACTTCAAAGGACTATGTCCAAAATGGCCCTGTGTAATAGAGTATCAGAATATACGATAATTAATCCCCTATTTTATTATGCAAGTTGCAAATACTTCTGTATTACGGACTAGCTGTATTCCAAAATGTACTTTTAATAGAATTTAACATTAGATCGCCATCTTCGACTAATGTCAAATGCTTTCGCCTAATGTAATGAAGAATAATCGTCGTAATAGGTAGTAACAATAATATTATACAGTAATCTAAACTTCTTTACTTCTATACAATCATTCAAACATTGAACATTCGTTCAAATATTCATTGTTATGGTTGACCTCAAAATCTGATACTTTTTTTAGTCTAGTCCGCTATAAAATAAGATCTTCTAGGAGTCTACAAATGATAGAGAATACAATACATAATTATCCGATACTCTTGGCTCCAGGGCCAACAATGTATGGACGCAGAACAATGTCCTGTTGTAACCTTTCAGTGTTCGGGCGATATCCCAGCAAATTTTACAAAACATCGATAACTCGACTAATGAATTACATCACTATTTGTAAACGTTGTGTAAACTTGTGTATGTGTGTGTTTATTGTATGCTTACTTCACTAACAATTGTGATCTAGTTGTGTCTGCTATTAAAGTGAACGTTTTATTATATGTTGTTTCTGTGTAGCTAGAGCCTTCATTGACATTGTGGTATCGATATTCGATAGTTTTGGTACTCTAGTATCGATATTTGGTCGCGGAGAACCTAACGGGTAACCGGGGCTCCGGCTCGACGTGTAGGAGAAGGAACGTGGTGGTTTTTAGTCAGTAAGAGTCTGACACTCCCTTCCGCCTCACCCAGGCGGGAGCAGTCATTCGATGATTTTCCCCCCTTAAAAAAAAGTATCAATATTGGGGCTGTTTAGCGAGACTAGAGCGAGAAATTTATACCTAACTGTCGTTTTTGACAGTTCGAAAAATGTATTGAATTTAACTAGTTGGCAAGTACCCAATTAATATCTTGAGAAGTCGTAATATTGGTACTGCAGTGTGAAAATAACAATTTTTGGCTTGATGACTAAATTATAAGTCATCTTCTTACTATCGGAAGAGGTCTTTGTTCAGTATGATATCTGGAGGGACTAACTAGCTAACACCACTAACTTCACATCTTCATTCTTATTTATGTACATGGTTGTATTAAGTTCAGTTTGTTTGGGTGTTAAGACATTCTTGATGTTTTTTTGCTTGACTTCAGTAAATGATGTCCAAATTGTGATTTGGGTGACTTTTCAAATTATCTGTTGCAATTTTTTCTTATAAAAAGTATTTTGCAAAGTTGTCTAAAGTTATTTTGGGGATATTTATTTTATAGGAAATTTCTTGAGACACTCAACTCTATATTTGTCTAAATATTCATAAAACAAACTACAGATGTCTATGATTTTTTTATTTTAATAGTATAAAACTATGACTTTAACACCTATTTTACTAAATATGGTTAAAAAGCAACTGTGCAAAATACTTTATGCTTCGAGCACAAAAGCCTAACATCTATATTGTGTGCTGTTTTGACACCGCTTTGCATGGCACTAGCTTTCACGTGGTTTCGGGAGCGACGGTTCCTGGTACTAACACACGTTGGTAAGTCAGCACTCTATCTAATAAACGACAATTTTTTGTGACGAGCAATTTCAGACGAGCATTTTTTGTGATGAGCATTTTTTAATTGGTTTTTTTTTGCATGAGTATGATTAGTTTAATGTTAATTTAAATTATTTTATATAAGTAATCATTATAATGAAATTTTAAGATTATTTATTTTAAAGATTGCAAAGTTTGAGGATACAATTTTCGAGTCGACAACAAAAATAAAACTATGGATTTAATATGCTTCAAAAAGTATTTCAAGCGTTGGGTTCGATTCCTACTTGTCGCTTGGATATTAAATTATATTACTTGAGTTTCGTGACATTATATTAATTAGTATATATGTTGTGTTTACAGGAGAGCACACACTGAACGGGGACCATTCTGACGCGCACCAGAGTACATTCTCGCATAGCAGTAAAGAGGTAAGCAGAGTACTATACTTCTTTCTATTTTTCACTCACTGTTTGTCATCAATGTATGAAGGTATAGTTTGATGTTAGATTTGGTTGAGTTGTAAATGTATTGCAATTACCTCGCTTCTATTTGGCAAGTTACGATGCAGTTATAATAGAAAAAAATGGGTACACAATTTTATCAAATTCGGAAATATTACTTTTTCTTTAATACGTTTGAAATGCTGCCTCGTTGGGCGAGTGTAAGTGCGACTGCTTGGCAAGGGGCCTCGGGTTCGATTACCGAGTAGGACAAAGTATTACTGTTGTTTTTTTGATCTCTGTAGTAGCACAGAGTCTGGAATTGTGCCCGGTATATGGCAATAGGCTCACCCCCTATTACATGGGACTCATAACATAAATACTGACAAGCGGGTGTTACATTGTACAGTGGAATAAGGTGCCGTAATGTGCACCTCTGCATACCTCTCCGGGGATGAATGGCGTGATGTTATGAATGATTGCCTAATAAAGCATACTTATTGACTGACTGTCAGTATATGAGACACACAATAGAAAATACATTAAGCCCCTGCCTCCATTAATTGTTAACCACTTTAAACCAATATATCCACCATCCTCAGGGCTCCCCCTCAAAGGAGGTGTCGACCGAGGACTCTCCGAAGAAGGACAAGAAGAAGAAGAAGGGGCTCCGGACGCCTTCCTTCCTCAAGAAGAAGAAAGAGAAGAAGAAGTCCACCACGCCACAACCCGCCTAGAGGTAATTATACATTGTTGTACGAATATCAACTTCATTGCTATGTTTTTATAATAACTATCGTGAGACCAAATCGTTAACACAGTAAGAACCAAGCAATATAGTTAAGAAATACTAAGAAACTAATTTTGTATGCTGTTTTAAGCTTTTTTATTTTATTTATTTACTAGCGACCCACCCCTGCTTCGCACGGGTGCAATATGCATGTATTATACATGTAAACCTTCCTTAAGAATCACTCTATCTATTAAAAAAACCGCATCAAAATCCGTTGCGTAGTTTTAAAGATCTAAGCATACATAGGGGCAGACAGACGGCGGATAGCGACTTTGTTTTATACTATGTAGCGATCATCGTCAGACACACTAAACAGCATCACAAAATGCAATGTTGTTAACTAAAAATTGCGGGTTACTCACGTGAATATACTGAGAAAAGCTCTACTAGTTTCGAACCACAGAGGTTCTTCCTCATGAGCAGCGTGCGCGGTCGCGGCGATGTTAGGCTGCGCCTTTTGTGATTGTAAGAGTTCAAATGGTAGGGGATGTAAATGCGGCGCTGATCGCTTACCATCAGGTGATCCGTCTGCTCGTTTGCCTCCTATTCCATAAAAAAAATCTTAAAAGCTAAGCGACTGGACGCCGTCCTGAAGTCCATGGGTAGTGCATTCCACAGAATAACAGATTGTATGAAAGATAAGATGTCCCTGTCTCCTTCCTCTACGAATATAACAATAATAATATTTGTTCCAGGTAATCCCACAGATGATCACTGCCATCTCGCTTTCAGTAATGTAATGTTTTTTGTAATAATTGTAAGGTCATGGTCAGCTGTCAGCTTATACAGCATGGAGCGGTGGGCTGTACATACTCTTGTGGAAATACAACATGCTGTATACGAGGTGGGTTCGTTCTTTTAAACTATGTTACAACTTCAAAAATACGAAAAAATAACCTGACAGTGGGTTTTGAACTTACGACACTTGCGTTCAGAAAACTCATGACAGTTGCGTTCAGTGCGTTCAAGTCCCACTTTTGAGTTATTTTTTAGTTTTTTTAGTTGTTCTCGAAAATGTATAAAATCTATTGAATGTTTTATTATTATTATTGTAATTTTCTTTATTATCTATAATTGGGCATTGATATAAATTTAGTATAACGAACTCATCTCTAGTATTAAGAATTTTTTATTGATTTTTGTTAAAAGTCGCTTATGACCTGACTCTCCCCTCATTAGTACAAGCCTTCCAAAGGGGGTGAACAGAGATTTAATCAAATTTAAAATATAAATGAATGATTGCGTTTCCATGGTAACATTAATATTAAAAATAAGAACGAAAAATATTATATTAGATTTGTGTAGTGCTGAGCTGAAATATACTTTATAACTAAGGTATTTAAGCTGGTAATCTGTTACCATGGTAACGGGATTGATTCTATCATCAAGAGTAATACAAATATGAACCTTAAAGTCTATAACAATAAGGTGTATTTTCGCACTACAAAGGTCGTTAAGCGGCTTAAAAATCTGTACAATTTTGTTAAAAGACCCCACCCACCGTCATTCGAGGTTAATGCCTTAGCAGCTGCTACCACACTATAGATGGCGCTCGTAACGCATTGAGCATTTTTTCGGCACGTAATGAGCATTTTTGTGGATTCTGCACTCGGCCGCGTGATTTCGAGCGTGGCTTTGCGAGCATCGAGCGTCGAGCGTACGAGCGCTCTTAGATTAGGAAGACGCTATAAAATAGTTCTTTAAAAAAAGCGTAAATTCTTATTTATTTCCAAACATTCACAACTTTTGCCTTGCCAACCTTTCTTATGTCATTTTCAAAACTATATTTTTCTTTTTTTTTAACTATTTTATTATAGTCTCTGATTTGTAGTGTTTCAACTGAGAATGCCGGCTTCGAGGCAGCTCCTTAACCGGCGTTAGATTGTGACCAATGCAAAATATCCTTAACTATTGGCTGTATATTAATTTATTAGGATTAATGCGTAATATACTCTCTTTTGCTACTCAATTTAAACTAAGTGGCCTTTGTATTAAAATTAGACACATAATTTGTAGAAAGTAAGATTATCCCGGTCTTTTTAATCTATATATCTAGAACATGTCACAGATTCTATGTCCAGAACTCATTCCCGTGTCAGATACTATATTGTTATAACAAAAAATACAATAATAGCAATGGATTCTAGAAATTATACCAATTATATCCAATATATGAACGATAGGTCCCTATTATATACAAAAAACTAGGTGTTACATTTAACTTACACTTAAAATGTATCTAAATATGAATAAAACAAATTCTAGCTATAATAAAAAGATGAAAAAATATAATCTACAAAGTACAAGACGCAGGCAACTACCGCCGGCGTTTTCAGTTGAAACTCAACGCGACGTGGTGCATCGTTATACAATATTATTATTTCTAGACAGCATATAATGCTTTCATGTTTATAGAGGGCGCTCTTGTCGATAACCGTCTGCTACATCCAATAACTAACTGGCGTACTCAAAGATATTTTACGATTACTTACTCTGAGTACAGAGGTTAATGGAAAAAGATTGTCAGTGTACTTTAACTGTAACTAAACTTCGATGCCCGAGCGGTCGCCGGTGACCGCTCTCCAGTTATCCATTATAAACCTTATTTCCGATGTTTAGAGACTACTTTTGTATGACCAAATTTTGGTCCGATATATCAACGTAATAACCCAGTCCTTAGCAATTGTTTTGCGGAACAAAATCGTTATTGAGGTATAGTTTAAGCGCAGTACATACATCAAGTTATCTGCCAGAAACTGGTCAAGTTGTGAAGCAATAGAGTCGTGACTATGGTCTTCTTGGTAGTAATTGGATGCAGCAGCGAGTCGGAAGATCCCTCGCCAATTTGTGCTTTTAAATAATTATAATATCGAAATAGAATATATCTGTCACATAGGATGTTCTGTCATTGCTTACGACTGAACTTTCAAAGATTTCAGACCGATACTGCAATATTAACGTGACGCCATATTTGATTCCCGACTGACACTGACATTTCAACTGTCAATGTCACTTTTGACAGATGATAAAAAATCTTGAGTAGATGGCGCGCGAGTTAGATGTGTCTTATGAAGCCAGTGTCGGTCGTCTACCTCAAAAATTTATATATTTTTTTAATTATTTTAGTTTGTTTAGCATGGTGAATTGGATCGTATTATTATATGTGTAAAGTTTATTTTTGTTTACTGACAGATCATCCTATAACGTTGATATTATATTAAATATAAAAACAAAAATATAATATATGTTAGCATTTTATGTAAGTATAAGCAGGCTAGCCTACTTGTGTAGTTTTAACTTATTTTTTTCCTTTTTTTTTACTACTTTGGACGTAATATATGCAAGGGTTGTGTGATTTGGTCATTATGACATTTTAATGCGTAATTAGTCTAATTTACGAATTACGTAATGTTAAATGAAAATGCAAGTAATTAATTAACGTAACTAATACTGCCAGTAGGACATTTTGACAAGCAATTTTCTTATTATATACAATACGTAAATAAAAGTTTACTTATAATAAATTTCTTTTTTATCTATGACCAAGTCACACGAGCCATTTTAAAGAGATCAGTACATTACATTGTTGTTAATTAAACGAGAAATTGTCTTAATTTTTTTAATAAACGCAAAAATATACATTTTTTATTTTTCGTTAACCCTTTTTTATTATTATGTTCAATTTGACATTACCTAGAATCAGTCTAGTGTTTTTAAATATGACAAGTTGATGTTTGTCTATGACGGTTGCATAGCAACGAGTTGCGGGGGGCTTAGGCCAAATACAGTGGATTACATACATTGAAGTCTTGTGTAAATGTAAGATTTCTTTTGTACTTATTTTGGTCAAATTTAACTCAACCAGCAACTTGTTGCTGCTAACCTCATAGGCAACCAATACTTGGGTGAAATTGATAATTATTTTAACCCACAAACCATACATTTTGACATTAATTCTTATATAACATATAGTATATATAAATGAAATATTTTTTTTTTTAGTTTTTAATATATTTTTTCCTTTTTGTACCCGGTCACAAATCTTCGGGCGATTAGATATAAGGATAGCTTAAATACGTTATGTTACGATGTATGTGTATTTTTTATTTCGTAAAAATATATGCTATTTGAAAAAAACGTTTATTATGAATTTGTTGTCTTTTATTTTTCACTAGCGACCCGCCCCGGCTTCGCACGGGTGCAATATGCATGTATTATACATATAAACCTTCCTCAAAAACCTCTCAATCTATTAAAAAACCGCATCAAAATCCGTTGCGTAGATTTAAAGATCTAAGCATACATAGGGACAGACAGACGGCGGATAGCGACTTTGTTTTATACTATGTAGTGATTATCATCGGCTCATCCACTGGACTGCTGGACATAGTCCTCTCTTATACCCAGCTGGTAAGCGAGCAGGATCACCTGATGGTAAGCAATCAGCGCCGCCCATGGGTGCCCATTGGCGGCGCTGATTGCTTACTGCTCCCCAACACTGAGGAGGTTTAAGTGAGTTACTGGCCTTTTGGGAATAGGGTAGATGACTAATTTTTATTTTAATGTCCGTCTGGTAGATTATTTTAAATCATTAGACACGTATTTTTTATTTTTTTAAAGAAATTAATACTTTCGACGATATATTGATTTGAAATGTCGCGTGACGTCATTTCTATGTACATTTTACACGTAGAAATGACGTTTTAGCCCCCACTCCTAAACGTTGATTCGTTTTATCTAAGTATTGTTTTATTATGCGACAAAATAAAAAAATACCTGTCTAATATTCTTTCATTACCTAACTGACGGACTAATTTAGATTTTCAATTTTCATACCCTGTCATCATCCCTAATAAGGAGAATGTGGAGGGGAGGACTTGAGCCTCCGGTTACCTCACTCGCACGGCGAAACAAAATCAAACCATTGTATCACTGGTTTTTTGC